TGAACGTATTTCATATAGCTGAAATTTGATTATTCTCTGGGTATTCCATAGGTTAAAACACAGAAACAAAGTTTAAAAATTTATGGATATTTGGTTTTAAATCATCGTTACAACAATAACTTATTAAATATTAATAACTACAATTAATAATGGTGAGGTCAGTACATATTTTCTTATGTTTGACTTTGTTATTTTAGCTCACTCCTAATATTAAATATGACAATTTTAATCTGAAGTGTCTAAAGACAATTTTCTTTTTTCAGTAAGAGCAGAATAAATGTAGGTTTGATTACTTTTAAACATAGATACCAATAGATGACGCTAGCATACGGTTATATCCAATATCACATTTAAAATCGAAACCTAACATACGCGAAGAAATAATGTATTTCGTTAACTTTCAACTTGAACTACTAACAACGACAAAACTCTTAATTTTCCAAGAAAAAATGAAACCGCTTACTTTTGACTCGAACAGACTTGTTAGTTTAACTAATAGAGGCACTCCATATAGTTTAAAAATTATAAACAGCTAAAATGAGATAGTAAATGCTTCATACGATAAAACTAACGTTTCCCCACCGTTAATGAGGCACAGATTCTTTACACTGTGATAACCAGTAAATTTTAACATAAATCTATGAATGCTAGAAACAGAAATTAAATACTTGGTGGCGCTTTATCTTATAGTTCGGATTATGAAATAAAAATAATAATAATAATAAAGTTTGTTGCTACAAACAATTAATTATTTTAATCATTGCTGGAAACGATTTTGGTTAAGCACAAAGCTAAACAATGGGTTATGTGTGCATTGGCCATCAAGAATATTGAAACCCAAATTTTAGAGTCATAAGCCTGTAGACTTACCACTGAGCCACTGAGAGTCAGGCATCATTACCAGACAGGGCCCTTTTGTAATGTGAAAATAAACAATTCTTTAAATCATATATGAAAATTAGTAAAAACAACTTGATTTAGAATCACAATAGATAAATCTGTATCGCCAATCACATTAACTACTGATTTCTCCATGAGTAAACTACTTTCAATGAACTAATAATAATAACGCTAAGCAACTATGTTCAGTAAATTAAAAGTAATAACGTGATTACTTTATGAGTAAAAAAAATAATTAAGGCCCCAAATATTTTTTTCTTTTGTAGGAGCCAACTACGGTCAAATTAGTGATAATGATGATACGTTTGTTTGTTTTAGAACAATGCCACATTGGGCTATCTTTTTGTATCCCCTACCGCGGAGAATCGAACACCGGATTTTAGTGTTTATATATATATATATATATATATATTTAACTTGCTGCTGTCCAACCGGGGGACACGATGATACGTAAAAATCTTCAATACACACTTGTGGAGACTACGTTCGGCATACTAACAAAAGAAATATGAAAGGTACATTAATGGATGGAACACACAGTAATACAAAATACATGTAGGTTATGCTTTTCAATATAAGTAATATTTACTTAGCAGTATAAAGAACCTAGAAACCTCTATGCTCACCAGTACTTTACCTAAATCTTTAAGTGTTTTTCTATTTAAACAACATTTAATAAGTTATAAGAACGTAGATTATTTTCTGTATAGATAGTTTTGATTTGAACTACTACATATACAAAGTTTTAAAAATTGCAGCAATAAGTATATGCAATGTTTTCTATTTAGATAAGGTGGTTGAATATCCTTTCTTCCCCAAAACGTATATTTCGCTGGAAAAGAGATTACGTATAGGCCCAATATATTCTTTGATTCGCTACTCCCGCTACAGTTTACGTCATTTTTGTCAGAAATTTTATACCTATTGGTTTCACCAGCTTTTGGCATATGAACCATAAGTTTGATAGGCAAACACAATTCATAAACTACAACAATAATGATATTTAATACTTTTATATAGAAAATATCCGCACAAGACAAACTACAACAATAGAAATATACGTTTTTTCTATAGAGAGTAACAGCATACTCACAGTAAACTACAAGAACAGGAATATTCAATATTTTATAACTACATGTGACGTTATACAATAAATTAGGAGCGTATAATATTTTAACGATAATAAACTCGTTTTTACAAACCACTAAACTGGATAACTTTTCCATAAACACAAACAGCATTTCAATACAATATTAATAAGTGACTCGTTTCTTTCAATCAAAACAAGCACTGTCTTTTGTGTTTTTAATGTTCATTTCACTACTTGAATACCTTTAATTAGTATGTTTCGCAACAAATTTTTTTTGTCTATTTTTAAGGAAGTTTTGACTATCCAGGAGATAAGAAATTCACAGAAATGTCTTCACTTTGGAAAATCGTCATATTTTTGAGCTTCGTTTTAATCATAAGTAAGTTAAACACTTAATACATTAATATTTTAGGGCTAAGTCTTTTCTACGGGTAGGATTATACAATATAGCAATGTTAAGTAATGCATTATAATATGTAACACAAAACAAAGGATAAATTGGGCTAACCAATGTTCAGGAACGTGTTACGTCGTGTAATGCAGCTAATAAAAATAACTGATATTAACTTAAAACTGAAGAGAACTGGATGTAACATAACAGGAGTTTAATTAAGATTTAATATGATTTCCTCCTTACACGTTTCATATTAAAAAAAAATCCTTATTGATTCTTTTACTCTTCCCTAATCTCATCATGCACCATGGGATAAAATGAATAAACTATTTGTTTGATGCATTTATGTTTACTATAATTAGTAGTATATTGAAGAGCATATGGTACTGACCTTTAACATTTGGAATCATGTGGCACTGTAATTTGGAATGTGGGATCATTTAATGTAGACTGTAGTCATGTTGTAATAAGTTAATTGTTATGTTATTATACCTTGATGGAATCATCTCAACGTACTTGAGCAAACTATTAATGATTAAAAGCTTTATTCCAAGTATTTTCTACATGGAGACAAAGGGTTAGAAAATTACAATAGTTAGATTTTAATAAAATGACTTATGGGTAAGAGGTGGCCATAGAATGTTTTGATAACTAGAAACTCAGTTCGCCTTAGACTTTTGCGTTCTTTTAATTTTTCTATACTCTCGCTAGGTGGAAACGGAGAGAACCAGTATGCCTGGAAAACATCAATGCTGATCCCTATGCCGAAAAGATATTGTTAAAAGTAGCGGATATTATTGATGAACCTATTCATCTCCCGGATTACTATAAAGGAAGACTTTTGGATCTGTACAATGGCACTCTCATGGGTGTACGCAGTCTCCACCGTTCGGGTCACTCTGTAGTAAAATGTGAAAAGGATGCCCTTTACCACGAAATTCCCATTGCAATTACAGACGTTTTTGCTGAATACCGCTGGCAATTGCACTTCTTAAACTGGCAAAAACATGGGAGTGTTTTCATTAAAGGAATCCACTTGAAAGCTACAGCCGTTATCAAGCAGGAGCTAAAGCGCGGTGTAAAGCCAACTGTCCATAGGTTTACAATTGATGATGTTTCCAAACCTTCCATAAAGTTTACTGGAATTAGTAGCTTTATTCAAGGATTGGTGGGAAATATTGGCACTATTGTGGTCCGAATTATTCCAAAACTGATTAACAATGCTTTGGAAAAGCCATTACACGTTGCTCTAGAGAAGGCTATTAAGGATATTTTTAGTGTGAATTCACGAAATTCTTCTAATTAACGTTCCAGAGCTAAAAACTTTGACGTGTTACTTATGTTGCAGAAACTGTGGATGTATTTTGTATTAATGTCTGTCTACAACAATAACGAAATAAATTTAGCACTAACGTCAAAGTAAAATTAGTATCATTTGAAGAGTTATCACTGGAATAATCGTAAATAAACTAATTTGGCGTAATTTTGACACCATACAATAAAATATATCTTTAATTTACTAACACTTAATTTTTTGTGTTAATTATTTTTGTTTTTAATAATCACAATGAAATAATGATCAAGCATTTAGAAACGATCTGGCAAGTGAAAGGAATACTCACTGTTATTATGTTGAAGGTAAATCGTAATGGAGTAAGGTAAATGAAGAATTTTTCAGAGTTCAAAATTATTACTTTCTGTTCCTTCTAGTAATGATTTTAATGGGATACGTCAATCTGGAATCCCGTCACACCAAACATGCTCGCCCTTTTAGCCGTGGGGGCGTTATAATGTAACGGTCAATCCCATTATTCGTTGGTAAAAGAGTAGCCCAGGAGTTGGCGGTGGTGACTAGCTGCCTTCTCTCTAGCCTTACACTGCTAAATTAGGGACGGTTAGCGCAGATAGCCCTCGTGTAGCTTTGCGCGAAATTCAAAAAACAAACAAACAATCTGGAATCTTACTCTATAACCTCCACACCAAAAATGTTATTGAACTCCAATTATATTTGCTTAATTCTGCATGATCAATATAGGAAAAGATAAAAACTCAAGTAAATATCGTGCAAAGACTTAGTTTTTACTGTGAAATGTTTTATGGTTGTGTGTTGAATTTCACGCAAAGCTGCTCCAGTGCTATCTGCACTAGCCGTTCCTAAATTTAAAAGTTAGAAACTAGAGAGAAGACAGCAACTCAACACCACCCACCACCCGCTCTTGGGCTACTCTTTTACCAACGAAACGTGGAGTAACCGTTACATAATAACGCCTCCACAGCTGAAAGGACGAACATGTTCGGTGACAGAATTCAAACTCGCGACCCACAGATTGCACGTATATATTTGGAGATAAACATTCGTGGAAGTATAATTACTTTTGGTTTTTTCTGGTTTAGTTATGATGAAATCACTATAACTACCTCTACTTGTAATCGCTTAGTTAAAAGAAAGTGATTCCATTTAAGCAACTTAGAAAAAAAAACAAAATCAATAGAAAGAACAGCTTGAATATCATGTCCCGCATCAATAAGAAAGCTGAAGGCTGTAAGAAATAATAATTACAACCTTAAACTCTATATCAGTCAAGTTTTTACAGACTGTGAGTCGAGCGCCCAAACCATTAGGCCATGCCAAACCTCCGGCTGAAAGTATAAGCACGTTTGATAGTGAGATTTGAACTCGCGACTCCAGATTACTAACTACCAGAGACCCCAAGAACTTTGTTTTATCATCAACAAATATAAAACAAATGTCGAATCAAACCTTTAGCCAATCAGTGAAGTCAGCATTATTTTGATATACTTTGACAAAATGGTACTAGATTCACCACAAATAGAAATATGACCTTTCCAATGTTTTTGTGATGTTAGACATGTGCAGGTGAACAAACTATCATTATACAAACCAGGTATCAAGTAGGTGTGGAAATTTATTTTACGGATTTCTCATATCTTTCCTGTTTCACAAGATGTGTGTGTTCCTTCTTTACGACTGGAATTCTTAGAAATGTAAGTGTGGAAGCAGAGATAATTGTACGTCGCACTTAGAAGCGGAAGGCCATTCTGTAACGAGCATCCCGGAACAGCCACGTCAGACAAAAAGAGAGTTTCAGATTTCTTTTTATTGAGTATTTATTGTATATATGTATATTAATCTTTTTTTTTATATTTTTGTTGCGAACCAATTTACGTGCGTTAAAGAAAAGTAAATGACTTTTTTACAAGGCTTTTTCAGATACCAAAATTGATTATATTCATTATATTTTAATTCGCATAAAATTTATTTAATGTTCTGTCTTAGGGAGTAACAGTCATATCTCTCTCTTTGGTCAGGCAAGAGAAGTCCCACAGTTGACTGTAGGTGCTCTTGAATAGCTGCTTTTTCTCTAGCCTAGCAGTTTAAAATAGGGACAGTTAATCGTAGATGGCCCTTCTGTAATTTTTCGAAAATAAACTAAAAATGAACTGTTCTATCTTTTCAAATTTCAACTTTAAACGTAGTGTGAAATGTTTTATGGTCGTGTGTTGAATTTCACGCAAAGCTGCTCGAGTGCTATCTGCACTAGCCGTTCCTAAATTTAAAAGTTATAAACTAGAGAGAAGACAGCAACTCAACATACCCACCACCTGCTCTTGGGCTACTCTTTTACCAACGAAACGTGGGAGTAACCGTTACATAATAACGCTTCCACAGCTGAAAGGACGAACATGTTCAGTGACAGAATTCAAACTCGCGACCCACAGATAGCCCCAATGTGAAATGAGAAAACATGAGTGCAGATTTAATATTTGTTTTGTGTTAATAAGATGGTTGAAAACAGTATGAAGTTCCAAGATGTCAGTTTCTCAAAAATTGGTTCCATTATATAGTTTTCAATTATTATGACGACGATTTCATTATTGAAAAAAAATGACGACAAAAGAAACATAAAATAATAAAAACTAGACAGTGAACATTATGAGTTTCCAACATGGGTAACAAATTAATTTCAAACATCATATGAACGATTGGAAAAGGTTGAATCACACAAAAAACGTATATTAATTAAACGGGTTTTGTGTGTGTTGAGCAGTAGACAAAGGAATTGCTACTGTGGGCTTCATTATATAATACAAGATATATATTTACCAGACACTCGCAGAAAGTAAACATAGAGTGCTGTATCTAGAACATTAACAATGTACGACTAAAAAACATCAATCTTCAAGAAACATACAAACACTCAAACAGTGCATCTTACGTTTTGCATAAGTATTTTTCAACCATACCTGCTTCTAAACAAACTTCAGAAATGTGTCACGACACCTGGTAGTACTTTTAAAATAATTATGTCAGGTTTTGTTAGGGCTGGGATTATTTATATAGGTGTCTGTGACTTGTTGGCGATAAATTTCAACAATAAACGGACAGCACACAATCCACTTGTTTTAAAATAATATATATTCAAAACAAGTCAAACGTATGTACAAAAATTAGTTACATTATTGCTTATCACAGTTGTATCCAGTCTTTAAATAATTGTTTCCTTTTCGTCAAAGTCCACACAGGCGGAGTAATTTACTTTAGAATACCCCTTTACAAGACAAATTATTCTCTTCAATCAATGTTCCTACAATACAAGGTGTGAAACTCACTTTAGAAATTGCTACTATACGCTCTTTATGGCTTAACACACGATCACGCAGTCTAACTTCATTTTTTATCACTTTTACTTTTTTGGTCGCCTATATATATATATGTTGCCTAACTGAGGCTAGAACTTTCTACAAACTACGACGAGAGGAGAGTTATGATGTAACAATTTCGTGTAACGTGACATCAATTCCCAACAGTTGAACTACACAACAAAAGAATCGTAAACAGTTACGTAACACACGTGCCATAAAATATCGCATCTAAAAATACTAAATCTAACACTCGCACTTTATAACTATTTAAATTATAACACTCCTATTAACTTTAAATGAAACAGTCGTGTATATCTAACAAATTAGATTTAGTGAGTTTTATTTTAGAAGATGGAGAAGTTTCAAAACATAACTATAAAAAATCGTTTTTCTATCGCTGTTATAAAGAATCTAGTTAGAAGTGTAAAAATTGAAACGAGGTATTTTTAAAAATGTAAGTAGAACCAGTAAATGTGTGAAAAATTCACAAAACGGGATAATTTAATCCTATATTCGCGACTTAATCAGATCCAGAGTAGTGATAAATGTAGAGTAACACCTGGAACAAAATACGCTGGAATGACATGTGGATTAAATTTTCCATTCTGCGAGAACAACGTTTTTTCACTTAGAAGATTTTCATCATTCTTTTTCTTTCTTTTGAATAAAATTTTCCGTTTTTTGGTCAAAAGTCGATTACTTTTTTCTGAGTTATTTCCTGATTTAAAGTGTTGTAAAAAATGTACTACACTATGGAAAAATTAGAATACGATCCTTTGCGGGCCTGACATGGCCTGGTGGTTATAGCACTCGGCTCGCAACCTGTTGTTTGCAAGCTTGAATCCCGTCACGGAATATGCCCACCCTTTCATGGTTAAACCCATGGTTAAAATAAGCCAGTTTCTACCATCGATTTTAAACGTTGTACCAAAATGAGAGCTACTTTTTGTGCTGATTTTGAACTTATTTTAGGACCAAGTTTTTAACGATAAAATTTCTGAATCAGATGATGTGAAAAATTATCTGAAAATTTTGATGGAATTTGGCTCGGATAAGTCACGAGTTCAGGGCTACAGATGAAATAGATACATTCATAGAGAGAAGTTTCAAAGATGTCATGATTTTGTCGCGTTTGTTATTTTTTAATCCTTCAGCTGTCAACGGAGATTCTTCAGTGCAATGTATTCCGCCATCAACAACCATTCTAAGGGACGACGTAAGAAAAGGAATACGTACATTTGCTCAGCAATGTTTACGTTGCAAGTTACTAAGAGGTGAAAGATATTCGTATAACAAACGTATGATACCTTACCTGATGATGTTTTCTATCAGATATCTGGCTAAAAGAAACATCCTAGCTAAATAAACATAACCATTTTGATACGACATTGTGTTGCAAGCCTTCGTGACTGTATTATTTACATGGAGAATTTATCTCATAAAAACACTCTGTATATGCTAGTTTAGTGGAAGATACTAACCATGCCTCCATTGGTGACATATTCAGCACCTGTGAACTGCCGACCATTTGAGAGCGCAATGCCGTCATAAATAGACTTGTGGTCTGAGGACTATCACAACCTTTTCCGTGGAAAGACGTTTCAAAGACAATGAGAGATTGCAAAACACACTCACGTTTCTAAGAAAGGGCTATTCAGTTTGGTTTTCATCAGAAAAGGATTTTCTATATAACCAAATATATATCTCATGTGATATATTTGTAATTCCAAGTGATTAATAGTTGTGAAGTTTTCAACTTTTATCGAAGTTGTTCTACAGATTATTAGTGCTTCTGAATGCTGATAGCATGCATGTTCAAGAGCTCAAGATAATTACGGACTTAAAACAATGTTAAAATTCCGTGT